GAGAGATGCTACATGGGGCATTGCAGAATAGTCAGTTTTTATAAGGTACCTTGAGCAGCAATGAAGAAATAGCATAATACAAAAAGTGGATTAGTTAACATTAAACTAGTTCAGGTTACTCTCTTTATAAGGGCTAAAGTGTGGGAACTTCTTTATTATGTAGGTTGAAACTGCCCTGTTTGGAGGCTAGACTTTCATTTCTCTCCTGATTTCTTGGAAGGTCAAATAAACAACTTAGTTTCAATTTGCTAATGCGGAACTTTAGCATTAGTTACTCCATTTTGATTTGATCTGTTGAAGCCTAGTGCAGGAGCTCAAACCAAATCGATGTTAATATATAACAACTGTAATACAAATTGTGAAGTCAGAACTGGAAATCCTCTGTGCTGCTTCTCCCTCTCCCTGAGTGCGGAGGTTTATAATTATCAAATAGTCCAGAGCAGCAATGAAGATATGATTTCTGATAGAATTACTTTAAAAGAGATGTACTAATGTGTATATAGTATGTGCTACCTCAATTTACTCCAAATTTATCACTTAACAGAGAGTTAGAAAGAAGTGTGTAGTAATCAGATTGTAACTTGAAGTTCTGTGTTTTAGAGTAACTATAATTCAAATGGTACAATATATCATATGACTTTATCACAAACATTTATTTTCTTTTAGTACAGCATAAAAATATGATTTTGTTTTACTCTGAAGTTATTTCTGAAATTTACCTTTTAGTAAAAGTGCTGGAAGCAATGATTTAAAGTTATCATGTTAGATTAATTAGCTAATTTATTCAGGACACAGCTCAATCATTTCCTAAACTGAGTTATGTCATTTCTTGGAATAGACTCATCATATTAGTCAGAATTCTCTAAAGAAACAGAACTAGGATAGTTATATATATATATATATACACACACACACACACACACATATATATACACACACACACACATATATACACACACACAAAGAGATGTATTATAAAAAATTGGCTCATGCAATTTTGTATGCCGAAAAGTCCCACCACATTAGAAGTCTGTAAACTGGAGACCCAGGAAAGCTACTGGTCCACCCTAGTTAGTCTACTCTAGTTACACATGTTTACTAGCTTATTGTTCACCTTATAGATTAATTGCAGAAAAATATGATTTAATATTTCTACTCTTCTGACTTGATGAGGTCCACAGCATTGATTTCTGACCAGTTAACGCAAACTGGATTCCTATTGTCCTAAGACAATTCAGGAAGTTAAATCAGTAACACAGATACATCTTTTGATTTATTTCAGGGACAAATAAACCCACTTGGAATTATTCAACCTTTGCTGAACTTCTTAGATGTAACTAAGAGGTGACTGTAATTGGAGCATTCTTAAGAGTTTCACTATATTATGAAAATGTGTGCTTAAAGTTGGTAATCATAAAAAATAATTTTGAAATGGCAAGGAAGGAGATGTTTTCTTCTTGAGAACTCTATATTTTAGTTGAAGACGTGGAGGGATCAGTTGACTTATTTGCCACTTAGGATTGCACAGTAGGAGGAGTTGGTGAAAGGGCAGCCAACACCAGAGTGGGCCTGAGAAGTGGGAGGGCAGTTTGCATTAGTACATATGGGTCAAAGATAAAAATGTTGGGTAATGGAGATTTGCCTGATGTGTTCATTGTAATTAACAGTCATGAAAAGCACCGGGATCTACAGCAGATGGAGAAAATAGTGACTGGATAGTAGTGGGAAGGACTAGGATGGGGTCAAGGCATCAGAAGGCAGAATTACTGAGTAGAATATTTGCTGTCATTTATGTTTCTATAGAAATACCAAGTACAGGCAGGGAGCGGTGGCTCATGCCTGTAATCCCAGCACTTTGGGAGGCCGATGCAGGCAGATCACGAGGTCAGGAGATCAAGACCATCCTGGCTAGCACGGACAAAAACATTAGCCCGGCGTGGTGGCGGGTGCCTATAGTCCCAGCTACTCCGGAGGCTGTGGCAGCTATAGCTGTGACAACTCCTGAGACTGGGTTCTCTGATTTAAAAAAAAAAAAAAAAATACTTCTCTTAATGAACAGAGTAATGTCGCAACTTCTCAAATTTGCAGGTCAGGATTGGCATGACAGGTCCACAGGACCTGAAATTTTACAAGATAATTGCAGTGGTGTGATCTGATAATTAACCTTTCTTGCTCTTTACCTGGACCATTCCTGGAGCCCAAGCCCAGAGGCTCGGAAATGAACCACACACTTCATTTAGGTTGTGCAGGCCGTGAAGACTGAAGTTTTAGCTCAATTACCCTTTGGGGTCTTAGTTCGCAGCATTTCATCCTGATTAGACTCTCTTCCTAAAGGCTTCTAGAAAGTGATCACCATCAGCCAAGTGCAGTGACTCACGACTGTAATCCCAGCACTTTGAGAGGCTGCTGTGGGCAGATAACAAGGTCAGAAGTTCAAGACCAGCCTGGCCAACATGGTGAAACCCCGTCTCTACTAAAAAATACAAAAATTAGCTGGGTGTGGTGGCGTGTGCCTGTAATCCCAGCTACTCGGGAGGCTGAGGCACGAGAATCGCTTGAACTCAGGAGGCAGAGGTTGCAGTGAGCCGAGATCATGCCAGTACACTCCAGGCTGGTGACAGAGCAAATCTCCATCTCAAAAAAAAAAAAAAAAAAAAAAAAAGAAAGAAAGCGTTCATCATCATGGGCTGACCAACAATTTCTACATTCCTACCGAGGCCACATGCAGCAGTTTATGCCTGTAATCCCAAGACTTTGGGAGGGCGAGACAGGAGGATCACTTGAGTCCAGGAGTTTGAGACCAGCCTGGGCAACATAATGAGACCCTGTCTCTATATAAAATAATAATAAATTCTACTGTGAAAACAGCAAGGGGAATGAGGTCAAGCCCAAAGGATTTAAATGGCCAGATAAGGCTCTACTCGATGAATAAAGAGGAATATCCCGTGAATGTGACTGTATTGTTTTAGAATATCTTGTTCCAACAGTTATATTGGACCTATGAATGTATAGACAACATGTTAATATTAGGTCTCTTTCAGAACTATTTCAATCCATGAACAATAAAAGTAAGTAAGTTACTAAGTGTTTAATTTCCTCCCTATAATACTAAATGTGTTGTTGACTTGTTCTTTGTCATATTTTTTTTAGCTTACGAAAGGATATTATTTGTAGCTATGTTTTCCTTTGCAAATCCCAGTACTGGGCAATCCTAAAAACTTTGCAAGATATATATGAGATCATGGTTCACTCTTCTGCTTAAATTCCTCCAGTAATTACCAATGACACCTGGGATAAAATCCAAACCCCTTACTAAGAGTCTCCCTAGATGAACTTCTTCCTACTGCTTTGGTGACAGCCATGCATACTCTTCCTTTCTTATGACTCTCCTCTCTCATGAACATGCTAAATTCCTTACAAAGTCAGGGTTTTTACATTGGCTTTTCCTTCCTCCTGTAGCATTTCTCTGCAGGTCTTCACATAAAGCTTTCCCCTTCTCATCTTTTTGATTTCAACATAAATTATATCCATCTTCCTCTGCCCTTTCTCCCAGGTTTTCCCCATCATACCAATATGAAGTTTTTTAATAAAAAAATTATTTTATTTCCTCCAGAAGTTGACTGTAAGCTCATTGACAGCATATTGACTTTTTGATAGCTGTATCCCCTGATTCCGCAACAGAGCCAATCACATCATGCGTCATCTATATTCATTAATTGTAGGAGGAATAAATTATAAAAGCTATTTACAGTGCATTAGTACTAGGCTAAATCTGTTTGCTAAGCCTTATTTTTATTAGTATATGAGCCTGTCACCAGTGTTCCACTTAAATGTATTGCCTATTCTAAGTATTATATTTTATGTGGCATTAAGTATTCATTTAAAATATTGAGGAACATAGTCCCTTGAAATTATTTTCCATTCCTATGGAATCACTACACTGTGGATTATACAAATAAGCTTATGAAGCATCATTGCAATGTACATTTGCATGTAATATAAAGATTATACTTATTACATTTTTTCCTCTATTCTGCTAAATACTTTAGAATTTTTCATCTGTTAAATCTTTTGCTTTTCTTTCTCAGTCTGTTGATTTTTTTACTTTTGTTTTGTTGAATTTTATCAAATTGTGTGTTCTAAAGATCTAAGAATGACAAATTGTGAAATTTAATTTTGTAACTGCAATATCATAATTGATGTTTTAAGAAAATTATCAAGGGAAACAGGAGAGAAACACGCTGTAGATTAAAACTCCTGGTAACCCGTTGGCCCAGACAAGCATCTGAAAACTGCTAGGAGGAATGACATGATTTTACCTCTGTATTAGGGTTTCTCAGCACTGTAGTATTTTGGGGTGGATAATTATTTGTTTCCATGGGGATGTTCTGGGCATTTGAGGATGTTTAGCAGCATCCCTGGCTTCCACCAACCAGATGATAATATCAGTCTCTCCTCCAGTTGTGACAACTAAAAATGGATCCAGACCTTGACAAATATCCCTTCATGGGTCAACCCCCCTCCCCATTGACTTCTATACATATAGGATATATCATTTGTTATAATTCCACAATTATAATTTTTCACAGGGTGCTTTTGGGCTCTGGGTATGCTGAAACATAGCCATTATTTTTGGCTTTTTTTTTTTTTTTTTTTTTTTCAAATTTCATCTCTCTTTTCCATGAAGGCATGCCAGAATCTTCATATAGGTCACCTTAGATCGGTGGATTTACTTTCACTTTCACAGGTATAAAAGCATATTTTCTATCTGAGTTTTAAATAGTAAGGATAAAGCTCTAGGCTGACACTATTCACAGCGAACCACCCTCAAAATAGAAGTGAATGTGAAACCACAGATATTTCATTGAAACATATCTGAAGATAAAAACATACCTCAAGCTTCACAGATATGACTTCTGAGCTGAGAGGTCAGTTTGTAGATAACTAGGGTTATTCTAAAAAGGATTGATGAGAAATTATTTTACTTGCTCCTATTTCATGACCTCCCAGACATATTGTCTACCCTAAGCACCAGGCTGGACACATTGGGAAACAGGCTGGCCACCTGGGCTCCCAGGCCTTCTACCCAGGACATCAGCGTAGCTACCTAGTCCCACCTGCTGGCGCAGCTGGCATTCCTGTTCAAAATCAGCCAGGTAGACCTGCAGTGGCACTATGGATGCCAGCACCACCACCACCATTAAACTGTCCACCAGGATTGGAATACTTAAGTCAGGTAATTTCAAATACGTAAAATACTCAGAAAAAACAAAACTGTGCTTCTGGTTTTTGAACCATAGTAATTTTGGTTGAGTGATATTTATTTATTTACTGCTAATTAATTAATGTCAGAAATGGTAAACAACACATTCTGTTAACAAGTTACTGGTTCTTTTGGGTTCGATTCATTGTTAAATCAAAATATGAATGTCACAGGTGATTGTTTTCTAAGATTTTTTATATAATGTGATAATAGTCCAAAGTCAAAATTTATTAAGCACTATTTTCTAGGTTTTGTTTTTAAGCATTATACATGTATTACCTCACTTACTCTTTCCAGAATCTCTATGATGTATAGGCGTTGTAATCATCATCACCCTACACAAGAGGAAACTGAGGTCCAGAGCAGTTACATAACTTACCCAGGATTAAAAACCTAATGAACTGGGGGTGCCCTGTTCATCACCAATCAGGGGCTGGTACCCTGATTCTGGATTCTGTGCTTTTTAATTCCAATACTGAATAATTTTCTTGACATTTAAAAGACATCTAAAATTTAGAGTTGAGTTTTAGTAAGTAGTACCAAAAATGACTTAATATTGTTGTGTGGGATTTGAGTCATCTTTTTCTTCCAATTAGTAAAATTACATTTTTATGATGCTTTTTTTCTTTGGAAGACCCAATTTTACAAATGTCACCAATAAGGAAAAAAGTCCTGGATTTTGCTGTACTACATGATAGCTTACCTCAGCAAACTGAGGTTTAATATTTGTTTTGTCTTAGAGAACGGATTGGTAAAATAGGAATATAAAGTTTTATATCTCCAATCTATAAACAAATATTTCTGTGATAGTCAATGAGTTTTCAGTAAATGAATTATCTCTCTTTTACTCTTTATAACTTAATTTCCCACAATACACTTGCACAGTGAATATTATAAGAATGTTTAGTAGTTCATATTTCTCTAAGAAATACCCTAGTTTTTTTAGAGTCTCAAAAATATATAGAAGAAATTGTAACTTACTATAAAATGATTATATGAAGTAGACATAAAATGAGTAACTGAGACTTACAATAAAAACTTATTTAAATCGATAAAAAAGTCTTTATATTTTAAATCCTCATTTAGGAAGAACATTGTTTTCTAACTTTTATAGGGATTCCACTATATTAGTTTATTTTACCTAAGTTTACAATATTAGTAGTGAATGCTTTCAATAAACATACAGCATTTTTAATTAAGAATATGTTAACTTTAGTTTTACAATAAAAGGTAACAAACTTATTAAGAGTTGATAATGATAAATGTCAATAACTGATTATATGCAGTATTAAACAATAAAAACATGAATAGTAATTGGTTCGCTATAAAATATTTAACATACAACTTAATTTCCTTTTTACTATAATAGATAGATATGATACTAATTCATCAGCAAATTGAACATCTGGAAGGTATGTATTAATTGTATTGCTTATATATCTAAAAAGAGAAGTTTATGCAAATAAAGATACATCAAAAACTATAAATATAGCATTCCGAGGGATGTGAGATGGTAAACCTGATTATTTACAAATATCTGTCTTAACAATAATGAAATCAGTAGTCTATTTCTGAACATTAGAAGTGAAATGCTAAAATACAGTTGGCCCTTCCTATCCGTGGGTTCCACCTGTATGAATTCAATCAACCATGGATCAAAACTATATTTTTAGAAATTGTATCTGTACTGAGCATGTGCAGACTTCTTTTTCCTTGTCACTATTTCCTAAGCAGTACAATACAACAACTCTTTACATAGCGTTTACCTTGTATTTGCATATTATAAGTAATCTAGAGATGATTTAAATAATACAGGAGGAGGTTCATAAGTTATACAGAAACACCACGCCATTTTATATCAGGGACTTGAGCAGCCTAGGATTTTATTATTCACAGGAGGTCCTGGAACCAATCTCCCACGGATACTGTGGGATGACTGCACTATTACGATAAGCATCTGTCCTAATGTTATAAACTCTAATGTAGAAGGAATACAGCCAAGACTTACTTTTGCTTTCTTGTCTCTCTCCAAATAACTTTAAGGGATTCAATCACTTTACCTGACTTCCACCACTTCAGCTCTTTTCTCTCCAATTTGTGATCACCTTGAGAATGGCACAGAGCCACATCCAATATTTTAGTTACCTTAGTACATTTCCAAGTGAGTAAACTTTTTGAATTTGGATGGGAGTGTTTTGGAAAATTGTTGTTCCTGCCCACAGTTTCTCTTGGGAGTTCAGATGAATCCAGTAGAATCTTTGTTCCATGCACCGTAGATTACTAGCCAGGGTGCAGGGGCACTGCAGTGTTGGAGGATGCTGACCAGCAGGCCTCCAGCTTGTCTTCTTAGAAGAACACTCCTGCTCCTGCTGAATATTCCTGATGCCACCAGATATTTTCTTGGGTCCAGTGCTTCCTAGGTGCAAGAATAAATTCAGTAAGCCTCTACATGCTTCAGAACGGCCGCTAGGGGAATGAGAGCCTAGGTAGAGCTATGAACCACAGTGTCTTTCCTCTGATATAATAAAGTTACTTCTTCTATGTATTATAAAAACTGCTGGTTTTTAGAAAATATCTGTTAAATAAATTCATTTTTGCATAGCTGCAGTTTCTTTAACTGGTTGAAATTATAACTTGAATTGTACAAGCAGAGTAATGAATTTCATTAACATATACAATTGTTACCTATTACATTTAAACTGCTTTTAAAGTACGTGATTAGATATTTATAATGTTCTTGGTTTTTTGTAGTTTTGCTAAATTAAGTTTGCTCTGGAAAGGAGCACTATGTTCTGTAATAGTTTGTATACCGAATTATTTAAAATGTTTTATTTTATGGAATATATAATAGAGATTATAAAATCCAAAAGACCAGACAGTATACATTATACAACATTATGTTTACAATTTTTAGATTTATATATTTGCACAATATATGTGCTTCATTGAAAAATACAAAGTTCCACATTTACCAGTTTTTAATTTTTTAAAAAGACATTTTTAATTTTCTTTTCTTTTTTTCTCAAATTGAAAGTCTATATTGTTTGCTAACATCAAGGCATATAAAAAGATGATTACTCAGTCTATTTTTAGCACCTGAGACTATGACAAATACTTATACCTTACCTTGACTGAAAAATTAATAGATTCTAAAAATATAATTGCTGCAGTCTTTTGTTTTGTCTCCATTTTTCAAGTAACTTGAAGGAAACTTCAAGATTGTGTAACCCCATTGATCTCATTTTATAGATAAACGAGCTTAAGATTTTTGCAAGTAAGTTACGTAATTAAACAATTAGTTGGATAACAGATGCCCACATAGGAATTAATTTTTTTAATTCGATTTAAAATTTTTTCACAAACTTTTGTCTATGGCAGATGTTGAGGTCAAGTGCAGTTCCTATATAGGCACAGTCCAGGACCTGTTTGAGTCCCACCATAGATTCTTAAGGAAGTTTATGGTAATAAGACTTGTGAGGAACAATTCTGTGTGATGTCCTTCTGTGGATAGTGGGACAATTCATTGCTCCTTCATGGCTTTAAACAAGGAGAGGTTTCCAATGTGTGGTTCAATATGGAAGTCCTTGGTAAGATACCATGTGAGCATCAGCATTTTGCGTTCCTCTGTTTCTCCAAGAGGTTAACCTATCTAAGGTACAGAGTTCACTTAGGATGCTCACGGTCTAGATATTCTGAGTTGAAGCCCTGATTGCCAAGCACCTTCCCCATTTGTTTAATATTCATCTCTTACTTTCAAATTACTGCAGAGCTAAATAAGGGTGCCCTGAGCCCAATGTGATGTCCTAATTTGCCTTCCATTTTTGCCTCTCACTTTTTATGCGTGTGCCTTGAGAATTAACCCTCTTATTGCCTTTCATCAAACAGTGCAAACAAGCAAGACATAAGTGTGGCTTATAAAACGAAATCTTAAACCAATTGATTTAATATATTTTTTGCAGTCATCCTATATTCCTCTCCATAATATACGATAACTATACCAAATAAATGGACGTTTTATCCGTACACCTAGCACCACTGTGCTTACCTGCAGCATTGCCCCAACCCTCAGCAGTGAAGTGTCTCTTCTCACAGGAGTCTATGGGATTAGAAAAATATGACTTGCTTTCTTTTCCATGTCTCACAGAAGGACTCAATTTCTCCATGCATTAATAGCCTGGCTTCCTCCTTTCCCTTTGCCTTTTTCCTCTGCCTGATCAACTCTAAATACCATTCCTTTTTATTCTTTCTATGATACTTGCAGCATCATCTAAAACTAGCTAGATATTATAATGTCTTAAGATAGGTTCAATACTTTTAACATAAAGGCAACTGAGTTTATTTTCATTTTTAGTCCTATTCAGTTTTGAAAGTAGTAACGTGTATGAAATCAAGAACAGCTTTGGGCAGAGGATTTATTTTGCAGCAGAAGATACTAATTTCTGTACCCGAAATTGCTGTGGGCAGTCTAGACCTTTTACCTTGAGGATTACTGATAATGTGGGTCAAGAAGTCATAACTCTGGAAAGACCACTAAGATGTAACTGTTGTTGTTGCCCCTGCTGCCTTCAGGAGGTATGTGAGCAATTACTAGAGCTTTTCGTAAAGTAGTTCAGCAAGGATTTCCGCCCTTTCATTGAATCTGTATAATCAAATGAGATTTAAAGGAATATGGCTCCATGAGCTATATGTTTGGGCTTCTGAATCAATTGTATAAGAAGGGGAGGAAGGCAAGTAAACAACAGGGAATAGTTAGCCTCGTGTCCTGCAGCAGTCTGCCTCATGGGGTTGAGCAACTGCTCAGATATGAGAGTTATTGATATTCAAGGAAAGGTCAGATAGGGCACCTTTTTCAAATCATTTTTTAGAGATGACTACAAGAGGCATGGTCGAAACCAGCAGAGTTGCACCATTGAAAATATCCTAAAATAGCATTCTAGGATCATGGGGACAAAAGAATGAAGGAAAGAACAGATGTGTTCATTTCATAATTTTGGCCAACCTACTAAGGGACAAACCTAGGACAAAGTCTTATCTCCTATGTTTTTCATTTCTCCTTTTCAGAATAAAAACCTGTATATCTGTGTCATCTGCAAAAGGGATATCCTAAATGGGAGTATCTTCAACTCTGTAAAGACCAGATATCTCTGTTTCATATTGCATGGCAGCCTACTCCTGGAAAATATGATTTCAGGGAAGACACTGGGGTTCAGAGATGTTTTAGGAAAGTTGGCCTTTTCCAGGATCCCACTGGCCCAACACTGTATCTGCCTGGGTAACTTAGTCTTGCATACAGATTGCTATGAGAACATCACACAGATAGAGATACAGGCATAGACTTATCTAAAGTCTAATACTGTACTTATTTTGAGAGGATAATTGAAGTTATTTGTAATGAATTGCTTTGTTTTCCATGCCATTTAGGTTAGGTATAATTATATATTTGTAAGAATATCTATCTGAGGAAAAACTGAGAATTTGATGGGAAATGCTCTATAATTTGAATAGCACATTAAAATATGTTACATTGTTTGATCTTTTTTAAAAAAATAAGTCCTAGGAAGTCCTCACTTACAGTGTCTGGCACTTAGGAAATGCTCAGTAAATTAGAGCTATTATTAGATATTTGTATTATGATGATTTATTACATTCACACATATTTTACTTTTGTAGATAGAAATCCAAGCTCCTCCTGGTGTACCAGTAGGTTATGTTACTCAGACCTGGCACCCATTTCTAACAAAGTTTACAATTAAAAATCAGAAAGAAGAGGATGTACTAAAAATTAGTGGTCCATGTATTGTGTGCAGCTGTTTTGCAGGTGTTGATTTTGAGGTAAGAGATGTCATAATGTTTATAGAATTTGCTTGTTTAATATAAGAAGAATATAATTTTGCAGAATGTTATGAATGCCTTAAATTAGTATTGTGTACTGATGTCTCAATAGCAAGATAATATTCCCATATATTTAACTTTGATCAGAGTGGAGGTTATTACTGACTAAAGGTCAGTACTGATCATGATAAATGGATGAAAAAAGAAGCAGAGCTCTGTAGTCAAATAAAAATAAGCAAATCATCTAACACTTAAACATGTTGGTTTCTGTGTGGTGACACTATATATTATCCATTATAAATAAAACTTTAACCTTGTCATCTAATTCTGATTGCCAAAGCAAATGGATCCTTCCTTAATCTGAAATATAGGCTGCCAGTGCTCCAGGCCATGTCCAGAAGTTCTGACATCTTTGAGTTCCTACAGAAAGCCCAATCATGCAAAGATAGTTTTGAGAAAGTCAGTGTAATATGTATTACCCAATTATACTTCTCTGTGGTCTCTTCTCTAACCCTGTATTAAATTAGGTCATTGGAAACCACAATATGTCTCTATATTAAATTCCTGCAGAAATTTCATTACAGCAGTTCTCCAACAGACAGCCTAGCCTTATAATCAAATCATTTAGCTGCAAATATTTAACCACTAGAAGATTTTATAACTTAATCTTGATTTCCTGATTCTCTTGGAAAATCAGAAAATTTGGTAAACTAGGCCCACAATTCCACAGAATGAGGAATAAAAATCCTAAAGTTGAGTAGGGCTACCTCATTTATGATAAAATGTGGGAACTCTGACAGTGTCCCCATATCTTTCTAAGGTTTTGCACTATTCAGTTTCATTCTGTTGCATCCTTTCTTCTCTAATAATATGATTTTTAATTTCTCTATTAGAATTTAGTTATATAAAAATGAATGCTTCCCCTTTTCAACTTCATAATCTGATGACAGAGATGGGAAATTCTAAGAAAACACATGTGTTGTAGAGACTTAAAATGCGGTTATAAAGGGATACATATATATGTATATAAAATGTATGATAATATGCACTGGATATATGTATATGTGTGTGGGTGTATATGGGTGTGTGGGTATGTGAGTGTGTAATATGTATGTACAGGAAACTTACGTAGGGATATGTATAATAATAGTTCTCTTTTCATGCCCATAAAAATCCAGACAAGTGAAAGATTATTTCTCCTTCTAGGAATGATATTAATAAAAGTCTAATAGGAATATAATTTATTCCTAAGAAATGAGTAAATCACTAACAAATTGTGAAACATTCTTAATACTAAAAATTTAGATTTCATTCAGTAGCTCTTCAATTCTCTATGTCTGCAGACACCAGATTCTAAGAGTAACTAAAAGTCATATGATTTGAGAATGCAGGAAAATAATGCATATAGTAAATTTTATAGCAATTTTGAGCTTGTAATTTAAAAATACCTTTTCAGTAATCTTTCATAAAGTATATGTTTTGAATTATATAGTTCCTGTAGTATCTTACACATTATTTTAATATATTATTTTGGTGTTTACCTAGGTTCTATGTGCTAGTGGCCTATTTGTATTTTTTGCATTTATAATTTACATTGCAAATAAATATTTAGTTTTTTTAGACTATCTTTACCAATTATTAGTATTAAATTTACAGATGTATAAATTTCATGCTAATATAATACACTACAATTCTTTTTTTTACTCATACTTCTGATACCAAATGTGTGGATATTTTTTCCCCGTGTCAACCAATTCTCTTTCTCTACAGATATCTACTGGGTTCCCTACAACTCAGGTCAATTCTGACACTCACTCACCTGGAGTTAATGCAGACACCACAGGTTAAGGTCTCAGTCCCACAAAACTGTTCCGTATTTCAAACTCCAACCACAAATGCAAGATCTCCTGTACATCTAACCAACTGGCTATAAATCAGGGTTCTCACAACCTCCTCCATGGGTTTGACAATTTGTTAAAACTATATACAAAATGTAGGAACATATTTTATTTATGTTTGCTGATTTATTATAAAGGACACAGATGGATAGCCAGATGAAGAGGTTAATAGAATGAGTTCTGGAAGAGTCCTGAACAAAGGGGGATCTGTCCCTGTGGAACTGGGGTAAGCCACTTTCATGGCACGTGAGTTCACCAATCCAGAAAGCCTCTGAACCTGTTGTTTAGAGTTCTTAGGAAGTTGCATTATGTAGGCATGACTGATTTAAACCATTGACTGTTGGTAAATAACGAACTCCAGCCTTACTCTCGGAAGTTGGGGACAGGACTGAATGGTTCAATTGTCTAAGCATTGCTTGGTTTTTCTGGTGTCCGGCCTAATACTGAAGCTATCAGGAACCCCAACAAAAAACCACTAGTCATCTTAGTATACAAAAGACTTATTGTTTAGAAGATTCTAAGGATTTTGAAGCTGTGTGCCAGCAAACTGGGACAAAGACCAAATATTAAAGCAAGACTTTCCTATTACCCCTAGTAACTTAGAAAGTTAAGAGAGTTTTAGAAATTCTGTGTCAGGAAGCAGGGATAAAAACTTAATGTAGGCCAGGTGTGGTGGCTTATGTAATCCCAGCACTTTGGGAGGCCGAGGCGGGCGGATCACCTGAAGTCAGGAGTTCGAGACCAGCCTGGCCAATATGGTGAAACCCCGTCTCTACTAAAAATATAAAAATTAGCTGAGCATGGTGGCAGGCACCTGTAATCCCAGCTACTTGGGAGGCTGAAGGCAAGAGTATCACTTAAACCTGGGAGGCGGAGGGTGCAGTGAGTGGAGATAGTGCCATTGCACTCCAGCCTGGGGGACAAGAGCAAGATTTTGTCTAAAAAAATAAATAAAATAAAAACCAAAAATAATAATAATAAAAAAAAAAACAAAGAAAAAAAACTTAATGTATAGTTCTTATGATATTGTAAATACCAATGTATTATTTCCAGAGGTTAAAGTAATTTTACCTTATTTTCTGTTTTGTTTTTAAAATGTTATACAGAATTTAGCTAAAATTATCTAGACTTTATAACTTTTTTTCATAAAAATTATCTAGACTTTATAATGATCTGCATATGTAGGTCATTATTTATATTTCTGATTCTGTGTTCAAATTTGCAAATGACATTCCTGACTTGGGTTGACATAACTCTTACAAGTAGTTTGGTGAATGTTAGCTATATTCAGCCACTACCTGCCCATCTGGTGAGGTGTTTTTGTCTGAGCACACTCTTTTCAACTCTATATGATTACCCCCAGGTTTCCTCAGCAGAATTTTTACAACCTTTATTTTTTTTTTTTCACAAAAATAGAAAAGTTTTACATTGGAGATCTTTTCTACCTATTTTTTTTTTGGTCTTCACACCCCACTAGTTATCTGGTCTTGCCCACACCCTTGACTTGAGGCATCCCATCAAGTAACTTATTGGTTGCTTCTTCACTCAAACTGTCATTCTTCTTTTCTAGGCTCTTAGCATTTTATGTTTTCCTACTGACAGTGGGTGGTAGTGAGGCCTCTCTTCATATTTAAACGTTCAGCTGTGTAAACGCTCTGTGTGTCTCTAAAAAGCAGAAGTCTAATAGGAGTTTCATTTATTTCCTTCCTGATGGCTTCTAGAAATTATATCAAAGAAATACTTCAAATTTATATCCTTTTCTGCTTAAATTTTGTTTGGGGTCAATTCAAATAAATAAAACATGTTAATGTCTATCTTAATATAAAATAGAAAATGTTAAAAATTTCAGTAAAACTACTTTTATGTAAGTTTTCTATAAAATAGAACAGTTTTTTATGTATCTACAAATATACAGGAGTCTATATGCATCTAATGTAACATATTAACTGTATGCTCATAATTATACATGCTTCCTATTACTCCAACTTTAAAAGTACTTTTGCTATAAGTTTTCTATAAATTTTTAAGATTTTTGTTTGTTTGTTTTTACAATTTAGATTACATCTCTTGATGAACAAATAGTGGTTGGCAGGATTTCTAAGCACTGGTCTGGGCTTTTAAGAGAGGCATTTACAGATGCTGACAACTTTGGAATCCAATTCCCTAGAGACCTTGATGTTAAACTGAAAGCCGTGATGATTGGTGCCTGTTTCCTCATTGTAAGTCTATTCCTGCTAATCTTGGTTACAGATGTCTTCTCTAGAATCATTCTGAAATAATTTAATAAATTACACATTTTAAGATAACCATTTAGAGTATAAAGTTTTTATAAAATGTTCTCATTTAATCCCAGCACTGAAATTCTATTTGATTCTGATTCTCCGGACTTATAGGCAGTTAGTTTATGTCTGAAGAGTCTACACACTTTCAAATGGCAAGAGAATAACTTTATATGCTAAGAAGCAGCTCTGGTTTGGGGGAGGGTTATTAAAAAATCAAATATATTATTAGGAGAAAAATCTGAAGCTAGTCTTACATGGAATAAAACTCAGTGAAACACAGAAATTTCATCCTGACTCATTAAATTAAAACATCTAACATGGGATTATAAAGTGTAATAAGAGTATACATTCAATCAAGCCTCTAAACGTAACTCTCAGTTTACAGGAAATACATGGGGTAAAGGGGTGATTCTGAATGTATATTTATATTAGAATTATCTAGACACTTTTTGAAAGCCTTCAAGTACTAGGCCATTCCCCACTTCAACTAAACAAGAAGCTCAGAGTCAGAAGTTTGTGTAGTGCCCCAGATGATACGAACATGCAGCCAAAGTTGAGGTTTATGGAAACAGAGCAATGGTCCTCAACTTTAGCTGCACAGTAGAAACACTTGGGCAACTTTCAAACTCCTCATGTCCATCCAAATTTACTAAACTAAAATCTCTGGAGTTAGGATGAAGACTTCAAGCTGTTTAAAGCTCCCAGGTGATTCCAATATTCAATCAAGGTTTGAAACGCCAGATAGATATCTTAAACATTAATTTGGTGATATAATCAGAAAACCTTAACAGAGAATATACAGCAAAAAGGACCCAGCTCCTTCAACAAGTAAATGGCAATGAAAATAATGGGATAAAGTTAAACAGGGGAAGCTGATGAAGATGGCTGAATAGAAGGCTCTGAGAATTATCCCCATTGCAGGAAGTCCAAATTGAACAACTGTCCACACAACAGAAAGCAATTTCATAAGAACTAAAAATCAGTCAAATGATCATTGTACCTGGTTTAAAGATCACATTAAAAAATGTCACTGAGGAGGGTAGGAAAGACAGTCTTGAATTGCCTAAACCACTCTTCCCACATACCTGGCAGTGGCTATCTGGTGGAGAGACAGAATCCGTGTGTTTGGGGGAGGGAGAACACAGTGATTGTGGGACTTTGCATTGGAACTCTGTGCTTCCCTGTCATAGCAGAAAGTAACATGTGGTATAGCACCCATGGAGACAGCATATAAACCAGCCTTAGCCAGAGCGGCATTGCTCATCCCACCATTCAGAACCTGAGTTCTGATAAACCTTGCTACCACAAGCTAAAGTACTCTGGGCTTCTAAATAAACTTGAAAGACACTCTAAGCCACAAGGACCACAATACGAGGGCAAGTCCCGGTGCTGTGCTGTGCTGGGCATGGAGCCACTGGACTTACGGTGCCTATAACCTAGTGAGACACCAGCCAGGGCAGCACAAGGAGTGCTTGTATCACCCCTTCCCCAACTCCAGGCAGCACAGCTTGCAGTTCCAGTAGAGACTCCTTCCCTCTTCATGAGGAGAGAGGAGGAGAGAATAAAGAGGTCTTTTTCTTGCAACTTGGATACCACCCCTAGCACCCAGACAATGTTTCTAAACACACTGCAGGCCAGAAGAGAGCCCACTGCCTTGAAGGGAAGGACCCAGTCCTGCTAGGATTTATTGCCTGCTGACTAAAGAGTCCTTGGGTCTGTCCTAATGTCTGTCCTGTTGGTAGCCAGGCAGTACTTGCTGTGGGCATTAGGGGAGACTCTAAGACATGCTTACTTCAGGTGTGGCCCAGCACATTCCCAGCTGTGGCAGATATGGGGAGATATGGGAAAGTACATATGGCTACAGTAACCGAAAACAGATCAAAACACCCAAGTTCTTTTGAATACCTGGAAAGCCTTCCCAAGAAGGACAGGTACAAACAAGCCCAGACTGCAAACACTGCAATAAACACCTAACTCTTCAATGCCCGAACCCTCCTACCTAAGGAAAGAAGAGGAAAGAGGACAGAAGATTTTGTCGTGCAGCTTGTATACCAGCTTGGCCACGGTGGGAGAGAACACCAAGTGGGCTCTAGTGTCCGTGATTCTAGGCCGTGGCTCCTGGATGGCATTTATGAACTTGTACTGGGCCAGAGGGGAGCCTGCTGCCATGAAGGGAGATATTCAGGACTGGCATAATTCACCACAAGGTGACTGAAGAGCCCTTGGGCCTTGAGTGAACATCAGTGGTAGCTAGGTAATACTTAACATCAATGGCAGCTAAACAGTATGTATTATGGGCCTGGGGTGGTGGTGGCCAAGGGGAAAGACACTTTTTCTTAAGGAAATGGAAGAAAAGCATGTGAAGATTTTTCCCTTGCAACTTGGGTTGTAGCTCAGCCACAGAATATGGCACCAAGTAGATTACTAAGGTTCCTGACTCCAGACTCAGGCTCCTGGACAGTATCTCTGGACCTACCCAGTATCAGGAGGGAATCTGATGCCCTGAAAGAAAGGATACAAGCCTGACTGGATTTGACATTTGCCAATAGTAGAGCTCTTGGGACTTGAGTGAACATAGGTGGTAGCCAGGTAGCAGTCATTGCAGGACTTAGGCAAGACCCGGTGCTGTGCTGGCTTTGAGTCTGACCCAGTGCAGTTCCAGTGGTGGTGGTCATAGGGGTTTTTGTGTTACCCTTCCCTCAGATCTAGGCAGCTCAGCACAGAGATGCTCCTTGTTGGGGGAAAGTCAGGGAAGAGAACAAGAGTCTGCTGGTATCGCAGGGAATGTTTCTGGATTTTACCCAAGACTGCCAAGGGATTACCTCTATGAGTCTCCAAGAGCCACAGCATTACTAGATTTGGGGTACCCACAAAAGTACATACGGCTGCAGTAACCAAAAACTTAGATCAAAACACCCACGTTCTTTTGAATACCTGGAAAGCCTTCCCAAGAAGGACAGGTGCAAACAAGCCCAGACTGCAAACACTGCAATAAATACCTAACTCTTCAATGCCCAAACATGAATTAACATCCACAAACATCAAGACCATCTGGGAAAACATGGCCTCACCAAATGAACTAAATAAGGCACCAGGGACCAATCATGGAGAGACAGAGATATGTGAACTTATGGACAGAGAATTCAAAATAATTGTTTTGAGAACACTCAACAAAATATAAGTTAACACGGAGGAGGAATTCAGAATCCTATCAGATAACTTTAACAAATAGATTGAAATAGCTAAAAAGAAACAAGCAGAAATTCTGGAGTTGAATAATGCAATTGATGTATTGAAGAATGCACCGGAGTCTCTAAACAGTAGAGCTGATGGAGCAGAATAAAGAATGAGTGGGCTTAAAGACAGGATATTTGAAAATACATAGTCAGAGGGGACAAAAATTAAAAATAAAAAAACAATGAAGCTTGCCTGCAAGATCCAGAAAATAGCCTCAAAAGGGCAAATCTAAGAGTTATTTGTCATAAAGAGAAGGTAGAGAAAGAGACAAAAGTAGAAAGTGTATTCAAGGGGATAACAGAGAACTTTTCAAACCTAGAGAAATATATAAATATTCAAATACAAGAAGGTTATAGAACTCCAAGCATGTTTAACCCAAAGAAAACTACCTCAAGGCATTTTATATTCAAACTCCCAAATGTTAATGATAAAGAAAGGATCCTAAAAGCAGCAAGAGAAAATAAATAAATAAATAAATAAATAAATAAATAAATAAATAACATAAAAGCAAGATCCGATACATGTGGCAGCAGACTTCTCAGGTCAGAAGAGAGTGGCTTGGCATATTTAAAGTGCTGAAGGAAAGAAATGTTTATCACAGAATAGTATATCCAACAAAATTGTCTCTCAAACATGAAGAAGAAATGCAGGCTTTTCCAGGCAAACAAAAGTTGAGTAATTTCATTAACACCAGACCTGTCCTACAACAAATGCTAAAGGGAGTTCTTCAATCTGAAAGCAGATGTTAACGAGTAACAAGAAATCATCTGAAGGTACAAAACTCACTGGTAATAAATAGTAAGTACACAGATAAACACAGAATATTATAACACTGTGATTGTAGTGTGAAAACTACTCATATGGTAAGTAGAAAGACTAGAATATAAACCTATTAAAAATAAAAATTGCAACAACTCTTTAAGACATAGACAGTATAATAACATATGAATAGAAACAACAAATTTTAAAATGGGGCGATGAAATTAAAGTGTAAATTTTTTTATTACTTTTCTCTTTGTTTGTTCATGCAATCAGTGTTAAGTTTCCATGAGTTTATAATAATGGGTTGTAAGGTATTATCTGCCAGCCTCAGAGTAATCTTAAATCAAAAAATAGAAAAGATACATATAGAATCAAAAGCAAGAAATTAAAACAGGCCACCAGAGAAAATCTCTTTCTCTAAAAGGATGACAAGAAGGAAGGAAAGAAGGAAGAGAATATCACAAAAATAACCAGAAAACAAAATAACAAAATGACAGGAATAAGTCCTTACTTATCAATAATGGCATTGAATATAAATGGACTAAACTCTCCAATCAAAAGACATGGAATGATTGAATGGGAAAAAAAAAAAAAAAAAACAAGACTCAACCATTTGTTGCCCTCAAGAAACACACTTCACCTCTAAAGACACACATAGGCTGAAAATAAAAAGATGGAAAAAAATTCCATGAAAATGAAAAGCAGGACTAGTTATACTTAGACAATATAGATTTCAAGACAAAAACTGTAAAAAGAGGCAACAAAGGCATTATGTAATGATACAGGGGTCAATTTTGCAAGAAGATGTAACAATTGTAAATATATATGCACCCAATACTGGAGCACTCAGATGTAGAAAGCAAATATTATTAGAGGTAAAGGGAGAAATAGACCCCAGTACAATAATAGCTGGAGACTTCAACACCCTACTTTCAGCACTGGACAGATCTTCCAGACAGAGAATCAACAAAAAAACATCAAATCGAATGTGCACTATAAACCAAATGGACCCAAAAGATATTTTCAGAACAGTTAATCCAGTGGCTATAGAATATACATTCGTTTCCTTAGCATATGGCTCATTCTTGAGGATAAACTATATGTTAGGCCACAAAAAAGTCTTAAAGATTCTTTAAAAAATTAAATTAAATTAAATGTCTCCTCTGACCACAATGGAATAAAACTAGAAATCAATAACAAGAAGAGCTTGTGGAAATTAACTTGTAGAAATTAAACACACACACAAAAAACATGGAAATTAAACAATATGCTCCTAAATTACCAGTGGGTAAATGAAGAAACCAAGAAGGAAATTAATAAGTTAATTGAAACAAA